ACGGGTTTCAATCGTCTGTGTGTTGTCCTTTCGAGCATGAGTTCAAACGGTTTAAAGGCTCGGCGACCAGCTTTTATCAGCGACTTTCTTCAGCTCTATGATGCTTGCAAAAGACACACATGTTGCTTTTATTGGACCACGACCATCCAGATAGGGCCGATTGCCAAAACCCTACGCCAATATCGTTGCAATGGCAGATGAAGACAATGCACATTGATTACACAAAACGCACACTAAAATGCAGGAGTTGCAAAGGGGAAAAACAGCTCGTATCAAGAGTATGCCGTGGTGCTGAACCATGTCAGTTCATACGGGCGAAATAGAAACGACATCGTCAATAGAAGGAAAAAAGTAAAGCAATAACTACCCTCGTAAACCAATGAGGCATTTAAGAGCTCCTGGACATGTTGTCACACACATTGCTGAACTGCATGCCAGCCAGGCACACTGCAAGAAATGACAAACAGCTCCTCACACACTGATGAGCGGCCAGCAGCAACAGCGGAAAGTCACGCAACTCAGCTCATCAGGGAATGGGTCAGCGTAGAGTTCACGTCGCCCCTTCTCCCTGGGGACAGGGGTGCAGAATAGGGTCGGAGGGCAGACATGGAGGGCAGGCGGAGGGCAGGCGCAAGACGGCAGTACCGGCGGACGGTGGACAATACTACTGGAACGGCCGTAGTTCTTCATATAAAAGGAAAAAAGATAGCAAAACGAGGAGGGAAAGATGACCAAATGAAATTCTGAACCATAGTAGCCATGTCTACCCAGCAACGTGAGTTTGTTCCTTGTTCTGCTTCATCCTCCAAGCCAATTATTTCCATTGCTGTTCCCGGCCATCTTGTTTCGTTGGTGGCGCACCGTGACGTGGAACGCCGCACGGTGGAACGGGTCTGCGGCGAGCACGTGCGCCAGGAATGCCGCGGCACGTCAGGTGCGGCATGTTTGGCGCGATCAACGGCCGCCGACGAAAGCGGCGCGCCTGTCCCGTGTCCAAATAAACAGCGCTGCGCCGCGGGGTGAGGACAGCGGCGGACAGACCGTGGCGAGAGGTGGCTGGGAGCGCAGAGGGTCAGAGAGTGTGGTGGTATGGTCAGCTGGAGCGAGAATTGCTGAGTGGGAATAGCTAGAGAGAATAGCTAGAGTTTTGTGGTTTTGTGGTATTGAGGCATGGTATGGTCATGGTGACACGGCCATTGTATAGCGATGGAGGAAGTGGGGTGGCGCTTCAAGATAAATAAAAAGAGAAGATACAGTCGCGCGTTTGCTATGTGGGTAAAAATAGTAAACTTTTTGGGATTAAAAAAAAGCATACCTATTGGGCGTGATGGAAAAAAAAATGCAGAACAGCACAAGCCATTACTTTCTCAAGCCTCGCATATGATGAACGGTTTCTGCAACACCACATCGAAACACACCTCTCTCATTTATGAAACTGATGCGCCATAGCCCCATTTTCAAAAGCAGCTCCAAAGTGGCGATCCTTGTTTCAGCGCACTTTATGAAAACACCAGTTCAGCGGTCACAAAGCTACGCCGTCGCAAAGCTCCACATCAGGTCGACAAACATCTGACTCGAGTTCAGTCCAGAGACGGCGCGCAGGTCACGTCCGGGGACCAAATTGGCCGAGTCACCCTCTTCTGCGAGTCGCTGGACGCCGGGTCTGACCTCGGCAATATGTGCGCTGTGCTGCTTCGTGCGTGTGCACGTGCGTACTGTGCCACAACTGCAGACAGCAGAATGTTCTCGCTCGCGATATGTGCTGAGGAGCGCAACGCATCGGTACTATTGGAAAAGCATCGAGAGTAAGAACTAGCACTAAATAAATGACGAGCTGACGGCTGACGCGACATACGGAACTGTCGAAACAGTGCGGAAAATGGAGCAAATAAATGGTGGAATATGAGATAAACAAACGGGGCGCCAGTGTCCTGGACCCTTTTCATAATGTGTGCCGCAGATATGAATGTGACCTCAAAAGCACCATCAAAAACATGGTCTTTCACTTTTACCAAATTTTGGCACAGCTCGTGCTTCCAAGAAAGTTGGCGCAATGGAGCAAAGGTAAGAGAGGAAGCCAAGGATGATTCAGCACAAGAACCATCACTTCTACTTCAGCATAAAATATAAACCCTCTCCATATACGCGTACGTTAAACCCACATGAAGGACTGCTAGTTTTTATTCATGTCGTCCCATATGGAAATCGTCCATCCATTTATCATCAGGGTCGAATGGTCGCAGTCGCACTCCTAGCCACCCTGCTGTGAAGATGGCGACAGAGGCACACACCCCAGCAGCACGAAAAACCGCCCGGCTTTGTCCCTGGGTCCCCAAAGAGCTCCCGCGGGTCGAATGGTATGTCTGTGGGTGGCTATCGGGAGAGATCTGAGACGGGCTAGGCGCCGCCGACATGTAACTGAAATGGCGCACAGTTGGGACACGAGGATGGCGAGAGTCTGATCGGCACGACGAAATTCGGCGAGAGTCTGATCGGCACGGCGAAATTCGGTAAGGAGCGATATGCCGCCATACAGATGTGCGACCTTGAACACGTCTTGCTGGAGCATCTCTCGTCCTTCGCCGTGAACATGACCATTGGCGCCTATAAAAACTTGTAACGTTCTTCAAAAACTTGGGACACCCGCCGAACAATGCCTAAACTTCGGCCTTTATGGCCGATTGCTATTTCGATCTTTTTAGATAACAAAATGGAATTAGCTGAGCTATGTAAAAATCCATCGATCACACCAGTTTTTTTTAGGCCTACCTTCGGAAAACATGCTTGAAACGTCACATTTCAACACATGCTATGCCAATAAAATGGTTTATGTTCATAGCAGATAGAATCTTACAAAACCGGTTCGTGGCACCGCTTTGATGTAAGGCAGCCAAGGCATTCGCTCTGGACATGTCTCGGCATTAACCCGCGCCCTGCTGGGGGGTGTTTGAACACCCCCCTTGTGGTTTTTCGCGAATATCTCAAAAACGGCGGCGCGGAGCGCCGCCGTTTTTGGTACACCTTATCATACATCAATTCTACACATGTTGTGAAAATTTCAGACCAAGGTCATTCAAGGTCAGGTCACCAGGTCACTTGAAGTGACCTCACCTCATAAAAAGTTTCAATGTCTGTCATAGCTACACCGAGTGACCGATCGCTTTGAAACTTTCAGCGATTGCTAAGAGCAATAGCATGTACAAAATGTATATCTCAGAATTTTGATATCGATGACCTAAGGTCAGGTCAATTTTGCGACCTCCCCATTATAAGTCAATGGGAGAAAATTGAAATGCGCCTCTTTTGGACGAAAGACATTATAAACACTCCCAAACAATGAATTACAAGTGGTTTAGACACACTGAACATGAAAATGGTGTCCGTGACCCCTGTTTATGCCCTGAGGTCATCTTAGGTCACGAATGGTATTTAACAGTTTTTCGCAAATAACTTTTGATAGAGGCATGCTAGAGCGATGAAAACGCCTTAGATGTGTTCAGCTCGACGATACGGATCGACTGATATGCAACATGACCCTTTCCGGTCAGGTCATGACCTTGACCTGAGGTCAAATTTTCAAGTTGACCTTTCAAGGTCAAATTATAGTTCATTCGATGCGTCTTGACGAGAGGAACACAATGCCGGTAAAAGTAAGCTCGTACAAGGCTTGGGTCAAAAGTTATTGCAGAAAAACTGTTTCCGAAAAAAATCGGCTATTTTTGCAGTTTTTGCCCCCTGCAGGCAAAACCGTTGACGTTAGGTCAAATCTGAGAGAATTACTCAGAAAGGGCGTTAATAGGGTTATCGAATGCGCTTTTCCGCGGCGCTGTAGCTCTATTGGTTCCCGAGTTATGCGTTGGCTTCTTGGAAATTGTTGACATTCGACCTGGAAATCGGCGAAATTTTGCCTTCAATGACCTCTGGTGACCTGACCTTTGACCTGACCAAAAAATTGACCGAGGTGATTTCCTCATTATTTTTGACGCTCTTTCGAACGCCGCCTTCCGCGTATCGCTACGTGGCCCAGGAGCCGAGTTAGAAGGGGGGGGGGTGTTCAAACACCCCCCCCCCCCCAGCAGGGCGTGGAAATCCAGGACCCCCAGCCGGGCGCGGGTTAACGTTACAGCTTGTAAGTAGCATAATGCGCTAAACACAGTTCCAACGTCACCAACTATCATATACATCATGTGCTTCAATATCGTACTCCCGGTAAAGTTGTGTTGCTCGTACCAAATTGCAATAGTTCCTACACCAAACATACATTCTAAACACCCAGCAGCTACTGATGAAATACCGAACTCGGTTGAATATGAAGCAGTAAGGTGGGCGAACTATAAATGAGCCATGTAACGTGTCCATTGTACGGATGCACCGTGTGCAGACTCCGAACGAGCAGGCCGTGTTCCCGCTCGAATGACGCAGCAATGCTACCTGCAGCAGTGGTTCGCACTTCCTTCCTACTCACTGGCCGTGAAGGTTGTGCAATGTGCATTCCAATTGACCAGCATTGAACAATGGACAATGCACAAGGTACCTATATCTCCCGACCTTCAAATACAATCGGGGTTCGTCAGATCATGCGCAACGTGCCTGTGTTTGAGAAATTCGGCGACGCCCGGTACCAGGAAACCAAATGAACGTCAATAAAGATCAGCCTCATGGCTATGTGACATCTCTGTCGACCCGCCTGAATAGCTCATTATACCACGCACAGCTTACCTTCCCACGCATGAGTGAGTTACTCAATGTTCTGGTAACTGAAACGTCGGACACGCCCAGCCATTCGCGCTCCAAGCCCAAACTCATGACATTACGACGGCTGTCCAGTGTCCACCCTTCGTCTGTAGAAGTCTTAGAAATGTCGGGCCAAAAATATCAGTCGGTAACGCCTTAAGGTTAATGTTTCCCAGTCATCTGTTGTCGCAAAGCGTCAAGTCGTGCGAAATTCGCACACTTTTCCACAAACATCGGCGTAGAAACTCCCACCCCCGGTGACTTACCGCTACAGGCACCAGGTTTGTGAGACTGATGTTGTAAGCCCCGTCTCTGCAAACAGAAAACGAATTGTGAGATAAAACACATACATTAATGAACGGCTAAATGGCCAGGTATATGAACAAATTGAACATCAACAGATTAGGACCTGCACCTGCAGAAGTTTTGCAAACGTCAGGCGCCTCGCCTCTGTAGAGCATCAGTCGATACTGCAAATAGCAGCATAACAGTAACACAGCATGGAGGTAATTCATATTGCGAAATATAGTCACTATTTTAGCCGCAGAATATCATTGATCCTAGCCCGTACCGTCTTATGTTCCTACTATATAATCATGAATGTGTATTGTGTATATGTCTTTTATGTAATAAATGATCAGTTATTAAGCCTTACAACCTAAGCACCCAGATGCATTTGGACATCACGTCAATATTTCAGCCATAGCAGACATGGCATTTCAACCTGCCGTCACACATCAATTCTGCAACAAATAGTAAATTATAGACCAGCCAGCAAATAAATTGGATTTCCCGGGAACAATACGCATTCAGGGCTTCATTGGAGCCCATTCGACTATGATAGGATGCTCGGGTGCATTCAGCGAACTCTCTTAGCGTCCGGGTCGACGCCGGCCTGTTCTCGAGAACAATCAGCTGCTGCAATCAGCCGCCGGCGTCCAATGAGGGCACGGATGTGCTCCGAATGCTGCCAGCGCTAGCCGCAGCCACGAGCGTCAGAAGTGGCCGGAACAGGACGCACGATCGACGCTGATGAAATAGCCGGGATACTGATTCGCGGAAGCTTTGTGTGATGTAAGAAGCTAGACATGTTTGACCAAAGGTTGCACCCGATTGACAAGTGTTCTGGGAGACAAGATAGATAGACGTCAGCGTGCGCAGCGACAAGATATAGTTATTAAGCGTCATGATCAAATCAACAAAAATACTAGCAGAAGGAAGTTCAGAAAATAAAACATGAAACGTCACGGCTCGCTTTTGGGAAAGAAACAATGAGCGCAAAGGCAAGTTGGTGGCCAAGGCCTTTAGCAAATCAATAACCTATTTTTTTTATAACGTAACTTCTAGCCGTAACAAATGATCTAATAACCTCAACATAAAGAAAACCTTGCAAGCCAAAGCGCTTTCTTTCTTTTTGTAAGCTATCAATGACCAATTTCGTCCAGACACACTTCATACCACTTTACGTCACAGACACATTCTTCACCATCAATAGCGTCACTTGAATCATCCTATGACGTCCACGGGCGGACCTCCCCCGCAAAAACAAACAGTGGAGCACACTGTCACAGAGCTAATGTGTCGCTTTGTCAATGAGACTGGTGAAGCATGACCGCCATAAGCGCTGACTGTACGGGAGGGAGGGCGAAGGGAGGTGGGGTGGGAGGGTCATGACTCGTCGCTGAGGCCCGGGGTTATCCTCGCGGGTAAGTCTTTAAGTCTTCAGCATCTGTCCCCATCCTGTTTGTAATTGCAAGTGTGAGGCATGATCTGCACTGTAATGACACCACTGAACAAATAAAACTTTCCTTGCCACGACAGAAAAAAGTACAGACAACTGACAAGCATATTAACATGGCCAAATAACGTAACTAACAGCGTTGTTTGTCATCAGTAACATTAGTATGCCTCTGTTCTGTGGTGTAGTAGGTACCCATGCTATCTCTATGTTACTCTACATTAAATCTACAGCTACCAGTTTCAGACTTCCTGAATCAAGACCGAGGCCCAGTCTTCAATTTACCGAAAACAAGTCACAATAAATCGGTATTGTTGAAAGTTCACTTCCTCCCCTTGCGGTATGTCGTGGACTGGCCACCAATCTGCGGGGCGATTGGGACTCTATTGCTGCTCTATTTCCGTGGGGCTGCCTCCATCTGCCGATTATGGTTCTGCCACCCCCACCGGCGGACCGCAGCTCCTGTCCGAATTAGTTCCAATTCAGAGTCCCCGACAGCCATTCCGGGGCTCAGTGGAGCAGACTGCGTGACGTCATCAGACAGCGGGCGCTGATTGGCGGAGAGGAGCCGGTCGGCGAACGGACGCTTTTTCACGGATGGTGGAGAACAGGAGTGGTCCACATCATCAAATCATGCGTGAGACATGTGAACGAGCCGTAAAGGCTGAAGAACTATGGTACAGTTCTGAGATAACTTCATAAAAGGAATCACGGAACTATTTTATTTTAGCAGGGTGGGGTGAAGACAGGAAACGATGCACTTTTGGAAACGTTGCAATTTTGAGAGGGTGAGGGCAAATTGATAATTGAATGTTAATGCCGGAGTAAATAATCAAATTCAGCACATTCATTATACAATGAGAACAAAATTCACAGTTATGCACCAAGATATGTCAATTAGTGACCAGAAAGTCATTAAATCTCGAGTTGAGCAGCCTTCTTCAGTCACCTAGCATTGTGACTCAACGCATGTAAATAACTTCAAAGCAGGGCAGCATTCCAGCACCAAAGCTGGCGTGACACCTTGTCTACTATACACCCTACTCAGACATATAAATATGTCCAAATAGACATATCTTGGGAATGATGACATTCACATGTGCCCAGACAGGAATGGCGGCACGCGAGCAGCTTGGACCGCACCCGTGTCAGTCTGCGCCCACACACAGCGTGACGTGCTAGTGTGTGAGGACTATAGGTGACATTTACGGTGTCCTTGAGTCACAGTATATGCGACATCGTGATGGGAGTAAGGCTGCGGTTAAAGATGACGTCACAACGTAAATAGTAACTACAAATGACGTCATAACCTAAATACAGTCACACCTAAAGATGATATCATGGCGCAAATCAGTTGGGCAAACTGCAGGGAGGTAATCTAAATAAAGATTAATCAGAATTTAGATTATTCTATGCCCATATTTGGGCATTTGTGCAGTCCTCTGCAGAAACAGCTGTGTAGTGGCCAAGGAGTGACAGAATCACACCACTCTTTCACAAAGCACAGTTAACATCTCAAACTGCCTCTGAAGCACCAAAACAGCTCTGAGAAAAAATTTGGGGTTCCTGAAATATGATGGGGAACATAATCTAAATTAAGATTAAAAATCCAGCCTCAATGGGTGAATAATCTATATTCAGATTATGTCATCAGCTGGCTAATCTTTATTTAGATTACACAATTAGCTGACTAATCTTAAATTAGATTACATTCAGCTGGCCTAATCTAAATTAAGATTACATATCTAGCATCCAAGAGGGTAGGCATAAAGGTTAAACCCTAGCATTATAATCTGGCAGTATAAGGCACTGGAACGTCATGTCCTGTGCAGGGAAATAGAGCCAGTCTAACGTAGAAAAGAAAAATACAGCACATTACCTGGCTTTCTGTAAGTATATTAAAGCTATTTTAGAAAATAAAATACAGAAATAAGCAATCAACATTTGTTTTTATTTAAGCTCAAAACCCTATTCAAGGTAGGTATATAATGCCTTGCCATTTGAATGTGGAATACCAATGACCTGGCCTAACAATGATATCGTCCCACGACTTTTCCTGTAACACTTCCCGTAACTACGGAGGTTACTCAGTTTTGGTATCCCTTGGGACCTACGGCACTTTACAAAGATAAAAAATACCTAGCTTGTTTGATTTCCCGCAATGATATCATGTATTGCAGCCCTGTTGGGCTCTGACTGGGGTTCCGGGGCATGCAACTTTGAATAATTCATACTTCTGAGTTTTGGGTTAAAATACCCATATAGCATTTTAAAAGCATTGAAAATATAAGCCAAAACTGCACCCCAAACCACAAACACACAGACTGTCCTTTCAAGGAAAAATATAAATCAAAATTCAGAATTATTTCTGGAAATATGACACCATAATACAATGTTTACATTTTCAGACAAGTGTCCCAGCAACTCATTTCTACTCTCTCAGACAAAGGTTTATAATGAATTGGCACCAACGATTCAGGATATGTTGATTGATGTCCTAAGTTGTCAAAATTAACAAAAACATGCCATGCCTCACAATATTTTGTCAAAAAAAAACTAGGTTGAAGTGACTGGGGGTGCAGCTGAGCCACCTTCATAACAACACACTCACCGGTTTTGTACGCCAATAACGCATTAACGCCACACTTCTACCACCCAAATTCAATTTTGCTGGGTAAATAAGATGTTACTATTATTTTGGTACCACTTTGGCACCATTCCATCGAAAAATACGGGCGGAAAAAAATTATTACCGAGAGGATACACGACGCCACGGACAGCGCTAGATCGCGGCCATAAATCGCCGTAGCCGAAATGAAATAAATGCGTTGTATTATACGCATTTTTTCGTAGTGGGATTGAATAATTGAATATTTCTTATCTCAGAACTGCCGAAAAAACCTTTCTTAACATTTAATGAGTATGATAAAAAGGAGTAAAAATAGATTAATGTATTTGCCCGTTCAGCAGTGACCTCGACTATTCACGTCATAACTCCCAAAGTCCAATCTCAAATGTGCTGGCCAGTTCGCAATCTGTAGGATCGAGTTTTGTCTGTCATTCAACAAAAAATATCGTGGTTATGAGCAGTCCTTCGATGGTTATGGGGGGTTTGAATGAGGACATGTCGGAAATATAATCTAAATATTGATTATCGCTCCTTATATGGTCATCGCTCCGCCCATTTTGGTGACGTCATAATCTCAAATTAGATTAATCTTATTTTAGATTACCTCCCTGCAGTTTGCCCGACTGAAATACGTTTACAATTACAGACTACCCAAAACGTACTTACCTTGCACCAATGACGAGATATTGGTCATCTTTGTACAACATCCGGAAATAATCGCGACCAGTGAAGTTGCCGCTGAACGAGCGAGTCGAGGAGCGATCTGAAACGGAACAGAGAAGCGTCAAATGACGTCACGAGGGTATCAGTAGAACGTCAAATGACGTCACCGCACCAAATAATGAGTGTAGTAGCAACAGGATAAGGGATCTTTTATCGATATAACAACGAGGGGATCAGATGTCAATTAATGGCCCTTTCACACGTAGCAACTTTTCAGTCGCCGGCGACAGCAGCAGTCGCCGGCGACCGCCAGCGACCGCCAGCCAACGATCGTGTGTGACGTAGGTATGACGTAAGCAAGTCGGTGGCGATCGCCGGGCCACGGCCGGGCAATCGCCAGCAACTGGTGACGTCAGATCCGCGTCACAGGCCAGTCGCCGGCGACTCTTCTCGAGCAGCGGACGCCGCCATGACAGTTTTGTCCTTGGTGAGTGGTTTAGGTGATTTGTGATGCATTTTTGGTTGGTTTGGCTACCTTAAATTTGTTGCACAGTAGCATAGGGATTATTATCTTGTAGTTTGCCTGTCGTGAAGCTGTTGTGACTTGAATTTAAGCTTGATTCGACAATATTGGAGGGTTTATGTCATTTGTGGCGCACTTGCCCATGATCACCCATGATTTTTATTTGTGATAAATATGTATTTTTTCATCAAAATTGAATATTTTAATGACATTGAAATTGACACTAGTTTCATAAGGTAATGAAAACTTGCTTGTTGTGTCACAAGAACATGGTTTACATTCAGTATCAGTGCCCTTGGGGACAAAGTGCCTACCCATCAGTCAGCTATTTGCCTACGTATTCGTGCGACACAAGGAAATATTTGAAAGCAACAAAATATTATATTGCTGCTCATTAATTAGCATGATCAAAATCAAACAGGTAGCTTTGCAATTTTGTTATTGTTTCTGCTGGAGTTTTCCTTGGTACCATGGATAAACAACCCAGGCCAAACTTAATCCGCATTGGGTTCGCATGTGTGTGCGTGCTCACATGGCAAATGATAATCCATGGCTTATTAGTACATAAATAATTGCATTATGCACAGTAGGTGGTAGGTATGTCATGTATTTTGGCAAGGTATTAGGTGGTATGTATTTTGGCCCTGGAGCTGTTTCCTATTCATTGCAGCAATGCTGCCGTCATGGCTTATATGTACCATGCGCACACAAGCTCCACCAATGTAAAAATGTCGTTTTCAGTCACACAAAACTCATAATTGGAGGAAGGTAGAGCAGACCAAGAATAAGCGGGCATTTGCTGCAGTGTGGAAAAAGTCACTAGAGGCTTGGTACTTTTTTACATGCAGCAGCCTGGAGATGTCCACAGAGGCATGCCTGAGGATGTCCACAGAGGTGGATCCAGGCAATAGTTTTTACAATCTTCTCCCCTTGTGCCCGCTGTGTGTTGTGCTGACTGCTTGTCCCCCTTCTGGTGGTGCCTAGACTTGCCTCTGCATATCTCCCCAGGCTGCTGCATAATGTCTAAAAAAAAACCCTCAAGCCTCTAGTGACTTTAATCACTCCAGTCTCTACAGCATGTGCCCACTCATGCTACAGCTGCCTTAATAATACCAAAATTAGTAACAATGGTCTCATAACCATATTCAGTAGGAAATGAGTTACCTAGAAAATCATATTAAAAAATACACTTGCTTTCAAAAAGAATGAGCACTGCTAAAATGCTATTATTTCAAATAATGCTAGGTTTCTGAACCACAAATTCCGATTCTGTGTCACTGAATACTGATTGCCAATTGTACAAGACAAAAAGCATCAACAATGCTACATCAAGGATAATGATGCTAAGATAGTTATCATTTTAGCCTGAAGTGTAAAAACCAAACCTAACCTGATTTGGGTATTTGGGTAAACCAAGCCTAACCTGATTTGGGTATTTGGGTAGTTTTTATGATGCTAAGCAATAGCCTATTCCAGGCTTCCTAATTTGCAGAGCTTTTGGTTAAAAATGATTTTTAAAAATGTATTTGAAGTATGTTCTGACATGTCCGCCCTCTGTGCCTGGCAGACAAGTCACAGCGTTACCTGATGAGTCAAGAGGTTCTGTACCTGATGTACCTGATCAAGAGTACCTGATGATTCTGCAACACCACCTGATGGCCAACTCGACGGCATTGCTGACCCGAAAAGGAGTCTAGCAGCTGAATGTTCAACTTCTGCCACTGCACTGTTGACACTGCCTAGAGACAGCATCTGCACCACGGCCCACAGACGATCTTCCGTGGGACGGTGTGCTGCGCACCAGTCACCACACTGACGGCGTTCACCTGTGTGCTGCACAACTTTCTGTGAGGTCAGGAGATCGACACTGACGGCCCCGGACGGTGTGCTCTGATTGCGCCGAGTGTGCTCCCTCGTGTCCGGGCCTTGATGCCAATACCGCACGCGAGGCGGCGCGCGTCCGCCAAGCCCTCACATACTGCGTCCAAGGTGCAGGTGGTGTTCGGTGACAGTGTGCAGCTTTTGCCGGCCCCGTGGACGGCACCGCATGTGACCATGGCATGTGCATTCGATTTTCTGACATAAGTGCAGTGAATTCATTTGTCATTTTGCTTCTGAATGCTGTCGCCGCTCGGTAGGGTCGATTCTGCCAGAGTAAAGAGGTCGCCACGATCGGCGCCGGTGGGCGGTGCGGCAAGCCGGAGCAAGGCACTCAGCAATCAGCTGCCGGGAGGTGGCGGCGGCGGCGGCGGCTGACGACTCGCGCCTCGAAAATCCTGTCGTGTGCGTTGCTGGCTATTATGCGTTGTTGGTGTGCGCTGTTTTGCAAGGCCTTTGGAGCGGCATGTCGAGTTTTGAGTTTTGGACGAAGGAGCCTTGGTGTTTTGTTGGTCTATTTTCGATAAAAACGGTCATGAAGAGTGAGCTGTGTCCAGGCTGATTTTAAGATTTCTGTCACAGTATTGTCACCTTTGACCTAGGCTTGTGTCTTCTTGGGTATCGGCATATTGTGCCACCGTCCTTGCCCCGTGTCCGCGCGTGCTGCATTTTTATGTGGTCGCGCGTAATGGTGTCATATACTGTCACCTCGCCATGTTTAGTGATATCCACTGTGTGGAAAAATGCATTTTGTTATAAGGGGGGGGGGGTACACTTGTGTTCCCCAATCCAGCGCTTTAGATAATACAGCATCTGTTTTTGACATAATGAAAGCCTGTGTTTTATGTGAGTGGTAGGCTTCGCCGTTCCTCAGGTCCGTTTCTGGCATTTGAATTTCTGCTACATTTCTAGAATGCCTTTTTTCTGTTTTTCACATACAAAGCACGGTTCAAATGTGTGACCACAAATCACTGTGATTGTCCCATGCTTACCACCAACCATTCCTTCAATGCTAATGTCGTTACAGCGAAGTTATTCATTTATTGAGAACAGGGTTGTAGTTGAATAAACAAGACAGGTGAGCAAAATCTGCAGCACTCGTAGTCTTGGCTGATGCGTTAGGAAAAATGGAGGAACTGCAAGTACACATCACTTTTCAGTTTTATGCTTGAGTGCATTGAATTCCAATGTAGAAGAATCGCAGTTTGATTGTATTTTCATTGATATTATGTATTGTTTCAATAATACTCGTAGATCTAATAAATATTATTCCAATATTACCTAGACGGTAGTTATCATCCTGCAAAACATGTCCAAATATTTAGTACCTTGAATAATGCAGTAAAATAAGCTGCGCCGCTGCATGTATCAGCAGCGCAATATCTGGTGCCAACTCAAGGTCAAGCGTGTCACGTGACAGCTGAGCGGCGGCTGGCTAGAACAGTCGCCGGCGACTTCAAAATGTTGGAAAAATTGAACTTTCTCGGCAACGCCGACAACTCTTCAATGATTGGCTGACACGACTGCTACGTCACACCCCGGCGACTGGTCAGCTGATATCGACAACTGCGGAGTTGCCGGCGACTGACCCCGGTCGCTGGCGATCGCCGGCGACAGTTGCCGTCGCCGGCGACCGGAAAAGTTGCTACGTGTGAAAGGGCCATAAGGCTTGAGACGAGGCAGCATACATATTATCAGACACCCAGAATCTGAGATTGCCGCTCACAGGAAATTAGAAATAGCAGTAGGTGTCTATTTGTAGACAATAGACACCATAGACAATAGATTTGTAGCAGTAGGTGTCTACCACCGATGTCTATTTGGAGAGTTCATTAGTATGTAAGGTGGTGCCATACATAATCATCAGCGCAAGAAATAAGATAAGAGGCAAGGTAGGACTGCATTGACTGGCCATATCTGCTGAGAACAAAAGGAGAAAAAAAAATATCTGCTGAGAACAGCGTGAGATACAGCACGTCGAACGTCCATTGTCCATTGACTAACACCATCTAAAGCAGCATCTCCTGACTCTGTTGGGACTTAAAAGAGATACACCGTCTATCATTTTCCCTCGTATGCCCAGCTGGCATTACCCAATGACGTGGTCAAAATTATTGCCAGTCCTGGCATGGCGATATCCATCACCACCACGTTTTATCGAGAACATCAGCACCAATCAACATCACCCACGTCAGCTGACGCCACGTCATCGATCACACTACGTGTCAACAACTCATCATCTCGTGGCAACCGGAAGGCGCGTGGCGGGCTCCCACTAGCTGGGGCAGCTGCCCCGCAGGTGATCCTCTACCCCACATTGGGACTCCACTCCCCCCCCCCACCCATCCCCTCCCCGCCCATCCAGATGCGCCATTCCTCTGGCGGCTCCAGAATGCCGAAATATATTTTGCTGGTGGGCGATAAAACCAGATGGATGGCCGTGCGCTACGAGCGCCCTGCAGCGTCCAAAGCCGAATATGCAACCTGGCAGCCCTGGGCGTGGCGGAAGTAGGGGGGGGGGGGGTCGAAGAGGGGGCTGGTGGGTGAGGGGAGTGCCGGAAGCGTGGGTGCGGGAAAATGGTGATGACGACGAGGGGGATGGGAGGGTGAGCCGAGGAGACGGCTGTGGTATCCGCTACAGCCTGGACGGCGCTTCCACCGCTCCTCTAGACGAGATCAATTGCCGACGTCGCGCCGAC